TTCAGTGCAAATACTCATTTCCATTATTTCCTGGCTCAGAGCAGGGCTAATCCTGGCCCTTTGGAATAAGGGTGGGGGTGAATTGGGGGGGTCTGTGGTAACAGACACCAGATTGTGCTTAGGAAAGTGTTGTGCACCCACCTCCACATCACTTTACTCTGTGAGCACATGGGGCTGATGGCAGCCACCACCATCCCAGCTCTGCCAGCATGGAGTGGCTGTGGAGGGAAGGCACAAAGCCCTGAGAATTCCCTGCCCAGAAGTTTCCAGGACGACAGGGCAGACAGAGCAGCCCCGCATGGCAGAGAAAAGGCCACTGGAAAAGGCTGAGGAGAGGCTGAGCTGCTCCTTTCAGGCCCTGCCCGGTCTGGGTGCCGCCCCGGCGCCTGGCCCAAGGCTGGGCTGTCCCCCAGGGACAGGGACAGGGGCAGGGAGTGGGGGCACAGCCCTGGAGTAGACACAAAGCAGCAGCACCAGCCCATTCCAGCACAGCAGGCTGGAAGGCAGCCTGGGAGCAGCAGTTTGGATCCTGGGCCCTGTGAGGATAAAGCCAAGTCACAGCTGGGCTTCCCGTGCCTGGCTCATGTGTGCTGGCCACTGCCAGCCCTGACCAAAGATTTAATAAAGAGCCACCAGCTTGTTCCCATCAGGTGTTCTCACACCTCAGGGTGCCTGGGTCCAGCAGCTCCGAGTGTGACCTGGGGCCAGAACTGTGCCCTCAGGTGTGCAGAGGCTCAGGCTGCCAGGAGGAGGTGATCCCTGGGACAGTGATGGTGTCACCTCCTGTCTGTCCATCCTGAGCAGCACAGGCTCGTTCTGAGCTCCTGCTGTGTGAATCCTCCTCTCTCCCACCTGCCAGGCTCGGTCCCGCATCGGGAAGAGCTCTCTGATGCTGACATCCGCTGGAGAGCCGCGGGACTGCCGGCCCTGGGCGCTGCTGCAGCTGTGCAGCGTGAGCTGCTGGAGCAGGGCACGTCCTCTTCATGAAAAACCCTAAAAATGCAGCAGAAACACGAGATCCTGCCCTCTGCTACCCAGCTGTACACAAGCACCAGAGGGACTCGCAGGACAGGGCTGATGGAGAAAAGCACTGAGGAGAAAAGCTGCTTCTCCTCACTCCCTGCTTTGGCTACAGCAAGCCCATGTGCTTACCTGTGTCCCCCTGCCAGAGCAAACCCACTGCCCTATGACACAACATTTTTCAGAAAAAACATCTTCAAAAGGGAGCAAAAAATTCTGGTTTTTAGCTGCAATCTCTTAGCAGCAAATCTTTTTGTATTATGTGTAAATTCCCTCCCCTGATGTTAACCTGAATGTTCAGAGAAGCAGCAAGAACTGCCACCCACCATGCTCAGAGGGCTTCTGTCTCTGTCCTGCCCCAAAGAGCACCAGGTGACAAAAAGGCACTGGCACAAGGAAACACTAAAATCTAGGAGCAGCCAACACAGATTTCGCTACATTTTTTACTAAAACATAGCAAAAATTTGCACCACCTTCCTGGGACCTAGTAACAGGTAAGAAAGGTAAGGAAAACAGTATTAAAAAGCCAGATTGTAAATGAGTTGTTTCCAAGGCAACACAGATCCTGTAACAGCTGCTCTGTTCTACCCCATCAAAGGCATCAGCACCATGGAAGCAGAATGCTGATTTTCAGATTAAAGGTAATAAAACAAACACTTTTCCAGCAGTGCTAATAGGTGCCAGCAGCCCAGCTCAGGGGGAGAACACAGCAGTGCTCTGAATGCAAATTCCTGTTTGTCAGTCCTGGGTCACTGCAGCAGCTGTGTCAGGGAGAGCTGCAGCTCACAGAGCTGAGCACACATGAGCTGCCTGATGAAGTTCCTGCCCCTGTTTCATCACTCTGCACTGACACTCCCACAGGACATGACAACTTTCCTGGTGCTCTGACCCAACACTTACAATGCCACACAAATAAAATTGTTATGAACACTCCAGATGAAGGAAATTTATGAATGCCTGCAATGCCCTCACTGAATCTGTGGCTGATGAAGCACCACAAGCAGCTGGGGATGCCTGGCTGAGAGAACTGGGCTTGCTCAGCCCAAGACACAAAGGTGAGAGAGGTTTTACTGCTTTCTGTGCCTCAGTGATGAGGGGGATCCACAGAGGTTGTGATTCAAGATCTTGAATATCCTCCTCTGACAAGCAGACTGGACTGGAATCCTCCAGAAGGCTCTTCCAAACTGAATTAGTTTTTGATTGCAAGCTCAAAACCCTAAGAAAGCAGGTGGGAACTGAGCAGAGGGAACAAACCCTAACAAAGCACAGCATCATCATCTCAGTGCCTGATCCACCACTACCCCAGAGCTGCACGCTGACAAACTCCCACATCTGTCATTTATTTCTTTTTAAATTTCTAACTAATCTTAACCTACTGCAGAGCACTAATAAGCCCCTCAATATCTGCCAAGACAACTTTCTGGGTCCTCTTCTCTCCACCACTAGTAATTTTGCCTTCACACCCACACTCCCCCTCACCAACAAGGAGAGGTAAAACCCCCGTGCTGGAGCTCGAGTGGGATCAAAATACAAAACTTTCAGTCCTGACATGAGTGACACAGAAAAAAAAACTCTGGAAGAGGTCAAAAGAACAGATAAAAGCAGTGTTTGGCTGCATTAAGAGCAGGTGGTCTGACCCTCCTGCAGGGTTATTTTGGCTTTAGAAGTCTGGGACCCATCTCCTCAGGTGGTATCAATTGCCCCCTCTCCTGATTTGCCACAGCTGAGCATCCCTAAAAACCTCCAGCTCCAGCTGCACCTCGCTAGGTCAAACACACACAGAGAATTTCTGAGCAGGGAACAAAGCCAGGCAAGGGACATTGGTGGGGTACTGAAAATCACCTGAAATCAGCAAAACAAGTATTAGGAAGGACACCAACACACCTCTAAAGACATCAAAGGTGAAACTACGCAAGGCAAAGACACACAAGAGAGAAAACCCAACACCTGAGTTTATTTTAGAAACAGCTGAAATCAGGGAACGAAGGTGAAGAGCCCAAGCAGAATGTCCCAAATCCCACGTGGCAGCTCTGTCCAACAGGCCACAATCTCACGTGTCACATCTGTCCCTCAGGCCACAGTCCCTCGTGTCAGGCGTGTCCCTTGCTGCCAGGATCTGGGGGGGTTTCCTCGCTGTCCCCCTGTGCCAGCTGCCCCTGGGGCTCTGCAGGGCTCTCCAGCAGCAGCTCCAGCGCCTCCTCCCCAGCCACACGTCTCACCTGCTCCCCTCTGGCTGCCAGGATCTCCTCGATATTCCTGCACAGGGAGTTGAGAACCAGCAGTGACACCACGGCAAAGGCACACTGCACTCTGCCCTCGGCACTGACACCATGCAGGGAATCACATCACCGGGAAAGCCACCCAAAATTAACCACAGAAAACCACCCAAACCTTCTGGGACTGCTCTCATCCACTAGGATCAATGATTTAGCAATTACAGCTAAACAGAAGCTTTTAAAGTTATCTTGGGAATTTAGAAATCACTGGAATTCCACAGACCAATCTACACACTTGAAACATCCAAGGAAAGGCAGCAGTGAAGTGATAAAGCCTGGGGGGAACAGCAAATCACCCGCTGGCACCACTAAGGATCCTTGTGAAGTTTCTACTGCAGCTTCACACCAATTTATTTGGATCCTAGACAGCAACAGTCAAATTATAATGACTGAAAACAGAGTCTGTGTGTTTTAATGAACTGGATGAAACTTTGTTTTTAGTATGAGCCACATGGGAAAAAAAATCACCAAAACAAGGCATCATTTCAGGAAGCTGCAGGTGGGAGCAGGGTGTGAAGAGGATGCTGGTGGCAGCGTGTGAGGAGGATGCTGGTGGCACACTCACCTCTTTCCCTCCAGGTCAGAGAACCAGCCCAGGTTGTCGGCGATGATGTGGTGGTTCCCACATCCAGGACAGGTCACGATCACCACTCCTTGGTGGTAGGCAGCCTTAGAGATGGATTTGGCTGAACGGGTCTGGCACACCTGAAAAACAAAATGGGTTTTACGAGCACGGTAACTGCAGCTCCTGGGGCTTTTAAGACAAAAATAGTTTTGACATTAAAAGAGTCTTCCCTCCCTCATCTCTAACTATCCCAAGTCGGCTCCATCATGTTAGGATGTCGTGAGTTCAGCCAGGGACACAAAGGCTGAGAGAGGTTTCACTGCTCTCTGTGGCTCCCTAATGAGGAGGATCCACAGAGGCTGTGGGCTCTCCACCCTCAGAGACACTCACAAGACCCCGAGCACAATGAGCATGGACTTGAAATCTTCAGAGGGCTCTTCCACTCTGAATTAGTCTTTGCAAGTTTAAAACTAAGAAAACAGCTACACCATGAACCCCAGAGACGGTGCCCTCAGAACACCCACGCCCACCTTGCAGGTGTACACTAGGCGATAGTGCGTGGATGGCGGCGGCCCCGGGGCGGTGCAGAGCGGGCGGGCCGGGCCCCAGCGCTGTCCCTGGCCGGTGCAGAGCGGGCGGGCCAGGCTCCAGCGCTGTCCCTGGCCGGTGCAGAGCGGGCGGGCCGGGCCCCAGCGCTGTCCCTGGCCGGTGCAGAGCGGGCGGACAGGCCCGCAGAGAAGCCTCGGGGCGGAGCGGGCCGGGCCCCTCAGGCCGGGCGGGGGGCGGCGGGGCCGCCATGGCGGCGGCTCCCGGAGCAGCGCCCTCAGCGCGCACTGCATGGCACCGCGCATGCGCCCTCGGCGCGCCCTGAGGCAGCGGCGGCCATGTTGGGTGCGGGCAATGCCGCCATGGCGGTGTCGGGCAATGCCCTTCATTAATTAACCCGTAATTAACCAGCTCAGCCCGGCCCTGTGTCATACGTAGGCATTTAAACCTGTTTATTGACCGAGAGGCCGTCAGAGCCATACAATAGTGTCACTGTAGCGCTTTTCATAAATGGGTGTTTGGATAAATTTTGGAATCAGTCCGTTGTGAGTGAAATTGAGAGGCACAAACAGCCTGCAGAAACTGGTGTTTCCCTCAGAGATTGACTCCTGAGGAGCCTTTGGTGTCCCTGGTGTCTCTTTCCAAGGGATTTTGGTGCTGTCCCTCTCTCAGGAGCCCTCGGTGTCGGTGTTGTCACTGCCAGAGGTGTTCTCCCAATCCGCCTCATGGTGCCGGTCTTTGGGCGCCCTTCTCATTGCTCTTTTTCTGCAAACAACACCAGACATACAGCTTTCAGAAGGTGTTTTCTGCAAACAAGCAGCATTTCATGCTGTTACTATGTATCACTCCCCTTTGTGTCCCATTTTATGCCCTTCATGGATCAAGCTTGGGGGCAGGAAAGGAGAAATACAAAAACATGGATATAAAAATACAAATACATGGATATACAAATACAAATCATGGATATTTCCAGGTCAGCCCTGCTTACTGCAGCCCAGACCTTCGGTAACGCTCAAAGCAGTCCTTCATCCTCCTCCTCTCCTTTTCTGCCAGTTCCTCGTTGGCCAAGCCACACTCCTTGAAATGGGAAAAAAAAAAAAAACCAAAAAAACCCATACAAATTTATTCTTGATCAGATCAGTGTTAACACCAAGTTAGGTTACTTCCTGCATCTGCTGAGTCAAGTACCAATAGGTTCCCTACTGTGTGTGCAGGGTGGTAATGCTGCTGTTTCACACAGTTTTACTACATTTATTCCCTCAACATCAGTAATTCTGGGAGCCTGTTTTCTGCAGCAACAGTAATTCTGCAGTAATTACACTGGAAAACATCCCCACCCAGAGATGAAGGGCAGAAAGTAATTAGAAAAAGTTTTTATACACAGATGGAGAAATGTCCACTGTAAATGTTTTGCTGTTCAGAGCTCACCCTTTTTGGAGGGTGGATCTGCACTAAGTGCTCAGAGTTTGGAAAAGCAGGAGCTGCTGACATGCTTCTCCAAGCTGGTAAATCCATCATTAAGGAGAATATTAAAGATCACAAACCCCAGTCATAGTAAAGAAGAGCCCACAAAGATTCTCTTACACTTGGTGATTTTGGGGGCAGATGGCTCTGTTGAGGGCTGAGTTCCTGGTTTTGTACTTCCAGGCAATCTTCTGAAAGATTAAAAAAAAAAAAATTAAATCACAGCTTTAGTCAGAGTTGCCATTGCAAAGTAACTTCTCCCCCCAGCAGTTCTTCCAACTGAAGAGCTGTGATGTAACTGCACAGAGTCCCCAGCAGAACTGAAACCAAGCCCAAAGCACTCAGAACTCCATCCTGTCATCAATCACAAGTCACTTCTCATTTTAACTGAGCCCTGAATCTTCCCCAGGATGGTGGAGTTCCCCACAAAACTCAGAGACAGAGCTTTCCACTTCCAGCTTCAGCAGGAGCAAAACAAACCTTTGCCAAGCAGCTCCTCTGAGGCCACTGTGAGAAGTGTGTTAATCATTATTTATCCATCATTTGTCCCCGCTCCCCAAGTTGTGAATATCATGGCACTTCACACCATACCCTATTTTGGTGAAACTCCTGTAGTGACCAGGTGTTACAATAGATATTTTTGGACTGAGCAAGGTAGAATAATAAAAAATGCCTTTTTGGATCAGTGCTGTTTAGTTTTAGTGAAAATTCTCCCATCTCAATGAATGAAAAGATCATTTACATCTTCCAGGAGGGCAAAACAGAATGGACCACCCTCTCCAGAGCTCTACTCAGTGTTTTCCCCTTACTTTTAGCTGTCTGTGTATCTTCATCCAGGTTAGTGTGAAGAACAAGCTGTGGGGCAGAAAACAGAGCAAGAACATCAGAACTGTCCCTAGATAAAGGAATATAGAACCCAGGACAGGCTAGAACCAGCCTCTCTCTCCCTGTTGCTGCCAGCAAACAGCACACTGAGACAGGAGTTACAGATTTGCTCATGGATTTCTCTTCCATTAATAGATCCAGCTTCCTTTGACCTCATTTATACTTTTGGCCTCCAGACAATGTGACAATCCCTCCCTCACTGAAGTTATGAACTAAGTGAAACTCTTTACTACAGGTGGCTCCAGGGTAAGACTTATTTTTGCCTGTTCTCACACAAGAGAGACAATTAAAAGCAATTAAAAAGAATTAAATTCCCTTGATTTGCTTAGACTCAACAAATCTTGCTGACTAATGCCATAACTGTGTCCTAGACTTAAAACTTCAGGGCACAGGGAGGTTCTGTCACTGTCTTGCTGCCTATGGACTGAAATGAGCCTGAGCTATTGAAAACTGCTGATACTTGGGGAGCTGAGCACAGGTGAGGAATATGAAACCATCCCAGAGGAAAGGGAAAGGTAAACAAGGACCCCTACTCACTTCCTGGGAATCTCTGGAGGAGGAGTCATCCAGGTCAGAGGTCTGAAACAAAACCAGTGTAGATTGATCATTCCTCATGAGCAAGGAGGAGATTTAGAGCTCCACGAAACACAGAACTCCTACATTCCTGTCTGGCCACTCAAGAAAGTACACACGATGCCATATTAATTAAAATGTATCTCATTTAGTTCCAGAAAACTTAGCTCCCCATTTCATCCAAATGGCTCACACCCAGTCTCTAAATAGAGTCACTGTGTGGTGGATGAGGAACCCCTCACCACCTTTGGAAATGCTCCAAACACAAACACAGGCCTGAGCTTGCATCTGCCCAGCTTTTCCATGCCTGAAAACAGGGTGGGGTGATAGACACCATCACATCTTTCATTTTCTAAGCTCAGTATTTGCATGGCAATGGTTTTAATTAATTTTGGTGGTGGCTCAGGGAAGTGTTCACTGCCCGATGAGCTGGAGCTGCTCAGGCACAAGGCCTGGGAACAGCCACAGCCTGACCCCATCCTCAGCTTCCCAATCCATCCAGGGCAGGAGAGCTATACCAGAGTGGGCAGCTCCAGCTGCAGCCTTTTCAGCTTGGCCTCCGTGGCCAGGAGCTGGCTCTCCTTCTGGAAGAGCTGCAGCTGCATCTCGTCACATCTCTCGCCCAGCTCGCGGATCTGCTTGCGGTAGGCGTCTCTCTCCACCAGGTTCTTGCAGTACTGCATGTGGAACTGCTCCCGGGTCAGGAGAGCCTGTGCAGGGGGACATGGGGCAGTCACACAACAGCACACACAGCCTGGCACTGTCTGCCCAACAAGCAGTGAAAAGCAGTGAGGGATAGTTTATCACCTGGTCTCTCTCCGAAGCCACTTCCTCCATCTGCTGCAGGACAGCCTCAATCCGCTTTTTGTACATCTGGGAGTCCTTCCTCAGAGATGTGCACTGTAGCTCCAGCACCTCTTTCTCCTCTGCAAACTGCTGAGACAAGGTCAAAAGCACCTGCCTGTGGGGAGAGCCTGAGCCAGACTGTCCCCACTCCTGCTCTGTGCCACAGATTGCTCTGGCCAGAGCTCCGTGGGGTGTCTGAGCTGTCAGCTGCCCCACACGGAGGGCTGAAATACAGGTAGTACAGCAGGAGCAGCAGGGATCGCTCCTGAGCAGCTGCTCTGCTCCACAGGCAGGACACGGCAGGTGCTTCACCTGCCTGTCCTGTGTGACCCAGAGCCCCAGCAGGGACGGGAACAGCAGCACCTACTTTGTCCTGGAGCACCTTGGCCCGGCGCAGCTCCTTGCGCAGGCTGTAAATGGTGTTCACCAGCTCCCGGCGCTCTTCCACGGTCTGGCTGCACTCATTCTCCAGAGTTTCCTTGGAGAGGCTCTTCTCCAAGTTCTGCTCCCTGGCAACCTGCAGGACAAAGGCAGAAGTGAGACAGGGCCTCCATCTAACTCTATATCAGTTCTCTCCCCTCAGGGCTCTTGGGCAACAGCTGATCCCCACAATCTTCACGGCAGCATTGCTGCCCTGGCTGCTACAAATAATCCCTTGAGTCCATACTCCACCAACCTGGAGAGTGTTTTCCAGCTCTTGGTTCTTGGCCAAGAGCAGCTCCTTCTCCTGCTGGATCTCCCACACCACCTCGTGGCTGGGGCGCTGCTCTATGGCGTGTTTCAGCTTCATGGTGTGCTTCCTCTCCAGCTTGCAGTCATCCTCAGCCTTCATGAGGCTGTGCTTCAGCTGATCGATCTACAAGAAGGTTCGGAGCTCAGCAGGAGCAAGGAGAGAGCTCTGGCCTGCAAAACCAGTTCTCTGTTCCCCAGCCAAACACAGGGCAAGTTTCTCCCCAGCTGTTTTCCTCAAAGTTTTGTGCCCTGGGGCCAGAGTCCTGTGTGCTAACAGGTACATGTTCCTGTGCTGCCTTTGTGAGAGCAGCCTTGAGTGAGGGCAAGACTGGTCATCATTCACAGCACAACTTGTAAAATTCAGGCCTACAGGCTGAGCTGGGGATCACAAACATATATTCTAGAAAAGATGCTCAGTGCTTCATGCTGGACTGGAGCATCCTTGGCAAAGTCGAGGTGCTCAGCCCAGGTAAGAGAGGGAAGCTGGAGGAGCTGTGCCTGACCTCTAGCAGCAGGTCCCTGTTCTTCATGAGGGCCGCGCTCTTCTCCTCGCTCTGCTTGGCGTAGCTCAGGGCCAGGCTGTAGTTCTCGTCCTTGCACTTGCGCAGCTCCTTGCTCAGGCTGTCCCTCTCCTCCTTCATCCTCTGGGCGCGCTCCTGGTGCTTGCGGAGCAGGCTGTCCCTGACCCACATCTCCCTGAGCGTGTCCTCCTTGGAGTGCAGCCACCCCGCCAGCTCCTGCGCCTTGCGCCGCTCCTCCTGCACCGCGCTCTGCAGCTTCACGATCTCGTTCATCAGCACCTGGCTCAGGCCAGACTCGCCAGCCGTGTCTGCGTGGGGGACAGGGGTCACTCTCTGCTCTCCTGGCTGCTGCCAAGGCACACACAGAGCTCGGCTTCCCCTGCACGTCACTGCAGCCAACCCTGATGGTGTGTGAGCAAATTATCCCCGCTGTGCCTCTCTGCTCTGTGCCTTCCTGCACCACACAACAGGCAGAGGGAAGAATTCATCCTCCTGCTTCCTCCTCCCCCTCCCCAGTCCAGCCCATGACACCAGGGCCGTTCTTCCCAGAACCCTTCCAAAGGACAAATGGAGCAAGGCAGGGAATGCTCCTGGCTCTGCTCAGCAGCACCAAAGGAAAAGCTGTTGTTGGGAACACAAACATTACCTATAATCATGGAGAAAACCCTGCTGGGCTCTTTGCCAGTTATTTTCTTATACAGCTGGGGATAATAAAGCTCAAGACTCTCCATAAATGCCTCAAAGCCCTTGTGTCCTGTTCGCTGAAGAATGTCCAGGAGAACACCTGAAATCATGGCAACAGGACATTCTATTCAGTTATTTCTCTCTTCACCTGTTTTTAACATAAGAATAAAAAGCTTCACTTCCTCCACATACCAAAGTCCCTGGGATCCACTCACAGAATAAATTAAGCTGGAAAAGAACTCTGGGATCATTAGGTCTATGACTGAACCACCTTGGCAACCAGACCATGGCACCAAGTGCCACATCCAGGCTTTGTTTAAACACCTCCAGGGTGGGTGACACCAGCACCTCCCTGGGCAGCCCTAGCAGTGCCTGACTCCCCAGACAATCCCAAACCAATGGCCTGGAAACTCCCCAGGAGGATTGGAAGTGCCCCCACCTGCCTTCCGCTTGCGCATGACCAGGCTGGGGTCGTTGAGCACCTGCTCCTCATCGTCAGGGCTGAGCACTTTGCACTGCCGCAGGTACGGCGTGATCCGCGACGGCTCGATCACCGAGATCAGCTTCACACGGAAGTTCTCCAGGTTATTCCAGCAGATCTCATCATTATCCTCTTCCAGCATGTCAGCAGTGAGGGGATCAGTGAGCAGCGTTGTCTTGTCTGGAAAAAACCACCAAAAACCCAACCAAGCAGCCCCTGAGGCTCTCGGAGCAGTGTGGCAGTGGTGCTGAAACCAAGGACGTCAACACTGAGAATGCAGAAGTGTCCTCATGAGCTGTTGCCTCTGCTTTACGAGCAGCTCACTCTTCCTTCTCCACCTCCCAGCATGTGAGATCCCTGTGTTCTGTCTGACCACACAGACACCAAATCTAACACCCACAGAGCTGTGAAATAAACTTTTGTTCCCTGTTAATATCAGCCATTCTGTATCACCAACCTTCACCTCTGCAGTCACAAAAGCTTCCTTGATTCTCCTCCTGTGTCCTGGCTCTGAGAAAATCTGTCTTGGATGCAGCCTCCCTCTGTACTCTGACTAGAGAAAAGATAACTCCAGGAACAAAACTGGGTTGAGAAAAAGGGGAAACTACTCAGCTATACCCTGAGACAGGAAAGGGAAGGAAAAGAAAAAGAGAGATAAATAAAAAAAGCAGAAGCCAGAATGGGTGAGGGGGGAGGAGAAAGATGGTAGTGGCATTGTGAGTCAGCAGCAACACATAAGCAGTGATTTTAGATTAATTCTGGTTTTGTTTTCTAATCTGTCCCACTGAAGGACCTGCTGGGCTCCAGAAAGTTTCCTTGTGCAGTGGTCAGAAAGGCTAAAAAGAATGAAAGCCACAGCCATAGGTGTGTGCAGCTGATTGCAGGGGACAAAACAAGCCACAAAATTAGAAGAAAGAGGCTCTTGAAAGTCTTTCCAGCTGTTAACATCTTCTCCAGGTAAACAGGTGGCAGCAAGAACTCACCCTTCATTTAGACAGAAGTCTCTTCAGCTGAAAAGGGTGATTGCTATATTGATGCCTCTAATTTTGGATGTCCTCAAGCTTCCAGCATAATTATGACAAGAAAGGGGAAGGGAATCAGGTCCTGGCAGAGCAAGGAGCATCACCCCTGATTCCCAAATGACAGCCTGTGGCCATGGCAGCAGTAAAGGAGCAGCCCAGCAAGCAGCTGGGCTGTGTGATAACGCTGATAATTCCACTGTGATGATGCTGAGCATCACCAGAAGACCTGAGCCTGCCTCTCCCCTTCCCTCAGCCCTGGAGCTGAACTCAGAACTCACTCAGTGTTTTTTAAAAAAAGCCTGGAGAGCACACAGGCTCTGGTGCCATGGCAGCATGACACATGTTCCCGTTAGCTTCCCACTCCCCTCTTTGTTCTGCTTTCTAAGTTTATGGAGAGTTTTTCCATCTCATCATTAGGAGTAGGGCAGAGATGCTCAGATTCTTCCAGCCTGTGTTTCTTGTCATTAAATTAGCTTTCCACTAAAAAAGATGCAGTACCTGTGTCAGCTGTGCCCTTGCTGGAGGTAATCACTGTTAATTGACCAGTTTAGCCTGGGGAGGTGTTATTCCAGTGACAAATCAATTTAATCCTGAAACAGGACAAAGCCAGCTGCTGCTTACGCATTTCCCCCACAAATAAATGACAAGGGCATCTTTCAGCAGCATTTGCAAAGGCCAGCCATCATTTAGAGCACAGCTCACCTTTCCCACCAGTGCCTCACTGTAACAGCCTGGGCACAGCACCCACAACTCTGCCACAGCTGAATTTCCTGGAAAACTGCTATCTAGAGTGGCTTATGGAAAACAGAGTACACTGCAAGAGGAGAGCCTTCCACAATCATTCCTTGTGCTCCATAAAGTCTTGGCACCAAATTACAGCAACACTGGCACCGAGTGCCCCTCTGCCCCCAGCTCTGCCTGAAGAGCCCTCGTGGAAAAGCTCAAATCCCAACTCCCCACCGCACTCGGGGAAGTTCAGTCAGTGCAGTGCAACGAAGCTTTCACAGCACTTTCCCTCTAGATTTTATCAGCTTTGCCTCAGCTAACCTTGCACCTCTCTGAGAGACAGAAATTGCTGGGTTATAAATGAAGAAACAAGTTTTTTTTAAAGTGATTTGTGATGTCTGTACGGGGCAGGCTGTGGAAGAATCAAGGAAGAATCCTAATTCAATCCTGCAGTTTTAGGCACATGAATATTCATTTCCCCTATTTTCCCTGGTTTTCATGCAGCCTGAAAACTTCATTTTCTCATTAGCAATCACTCTCATACACACATTATTAAAAGCACTATTTACCAGGAAAAAAACCCACACAGAACACATCAGTAATTTTTAAGTGCGAAAAATAAAACATCTGTATTTCAACAAATACTTAAGAGTCATTTTGATACAAAATTAATCTGCTGCTTATTCCACAGTATTCAGTCAGTTACCAAGCAAAGCCACTGTCACAGCACTAAAAACCACCCAATTAACATATTCTGAACATGGATAAGCATTCACACAAACAACACAAGAAGGAAATAAATAACCACCATTGCTTGTTTCCCCACATTTCTTGCAATATTCCCCTTCAGAATCTATGGCAGGTGGGAGTTTGAAAGAGCAGGAGTCTGTGCCTGAAAGATTTCCCTCCAGCCAGTTTCCATCATTTTTAAACCATGCCTACAGATGCAGATTTTGTTGAGGGATGGGAAAATCAATCCAGCATTTTCCTCTTCCCCAGGTCCATCCAGACAGCATTGGAAGAGGTAAAGGTGAACAGTGCAAAGATTATCTCCTCCTGCCATCCAGGAAGGCAGAGCTCATTCCATGACCCCTGTAACAAAGCACAAACACCTCCTATCAGTCACACATTTTTACAGGGAACTTGCCATTTTGGAGTTCCTAAAATGAATTTTCAAGAAAAAAAAAAAAATCTCCAACCAGTCTCATCTGACCACCATGTGAATCAAACACTGCTCATGGTCATTCCGTCCAGTGCACCAAAAGCCTCAGCAGGTATCAGGACATCACCCATTTGTACCCTGCAGAAGGTGATCTGTTATAACTGCACAGAAATGAAGCCAAATGTGGGAAATAAACCCCAAACCCCACCAGGCTGCTCAAAAATGAAGTATTAAGGAAAAACTCCACTGTCAAGCCTGTAGAGTGCTACCAACTAGGTGCATACTAAGTAGGGTTCAGGGCATGAACTAAAAGGCTGCCAAATATTTGAATTTCATGAGTTTATATATAATTTTATTGTAGAGACATCGACTTTCCCTCTCCCCAAAATATTATCAGCCTTAGGCTGTGCTTGGTGGTGACTGCAGAACTCTGTGTCCTTGGGGAACAAGAGCAGAGATCATTTCAGTCCTTTCCTGGGGTCATGAGTCACTGTCTGAGCCGAACCACAGACAAAGGTGGTTCAGCTTCTCAGCAAGATGTACAAACCACTGAGGAGCTACTAACACATCTCCTTCTCATGTCCTCCTCCTCTTCTTGAAGCGGGCACTTCTCCTGCTCTGGGGAGCTCTGGCATCAGCCCCAGCAGTGCAGGAGCCCAAGGCAGACTGAGCAGGGCTCTCCTCAGCCCCCATGCCCTGCAACAGAAGCAGGAGATGATCAACACCACGAGAATTACAAACAACCCCTTCGGCCACCTTCCTGATTTAGGGAGCTCAGCAACATTTCTAAAACAACCTTTCATGATGCATGGGACAACATTCCATTGCCAGTGTCAGAGAAGGCACAAAACATCAGTTCACAGAGTGAAAACAAAGGCCTGACTTCAAAAAGGCAAGAGCAGATTATAAACAGAAAGGGGAAGGGAGCTTTGATACTTTTCTGGGAACTGTCATGGCAAGTGTAAGGTGCTACATAAACCATGGGATTTCACCCTCCCAGCTGAGCTGCAGAGCTTTTCCTTTCAGCAGCTGCAGAATTGTGTTTATTCAAAAAGACCAAATTTCTGCTACACTTCAGAACAGTGGGGGCTTCCCCCTGGATTCCAATGCAATATTTATCTGGCAGTATTTTTCTGCTTTTTGCCCCTGGAATCTGTTTTACCTGATTTAGTAAATCAGCATCTTCGTCTCCAGGCTCATCCCCAAGTCTCCAGTCCTCCTGTGCTCCTGGTAATTCATTCCCACAGCTCTCTTCCTTCAACACTTGGTTCTCACTCTGCCACTCCTCCTCATCACTCTCCTCAGGCTGATTCCCGGCTGACACAGTCGTTGTCACTCTGGGAGGAGACAGAGTTGCCAGGACAGCTGGGAGGGTGAAGGCTGCCAGGAATCTGGCTTTCAGCAGGAGGTAAGCAGGGTTATCACCCAGTTTCTGCTGCACCAGTTCTCCAATAGCATGGAAGAGATCCCCAGTGCCCCCATCCCCACTGGCCTCAGAGGCCAGCAGAGAGGCTGCCTGCACCTCCAGAGCTGCTTTCTGCAGCAGGAGCCTTGACAGGGTTTTTATGCTGCAGAGGAAAGGGGGCAGATAAGGCAGCCTGGTCTGCAGTGGTGGCACCTGAACCCCTTGCTTCCCACTCATCCACTCCTTCACCAGTCCCTGGTCCTCCAGGGAGATCAGGCTGAAGTCAAGGAGATTCTTCTGTGCATGGGAGGTGCTTGGCTGGGGGGGGACGTCAGTGCTTGGTGGTTTGCAGGCAATGGGTCTGTTCCTCAGGGCCTGGGCACCAGAGCAGGCAGAGCTCCCTGGGACACTGCTGTGAGGAGCTGCAGCTCCTGGCCAGAGCACAGCCCCTCTCCTGCGGCGGCCTGGCTTGGAGGATGATCTGTTTGGTGTGATGGAGCCCCTGCTCCTTCCCAAGCTGGTGAGACTGGGCACAGGCTGGCAGTCAGAGCCCTGAGTGCTGGCAGGGGGCTGTGGCAGCAGGATGGCCCACAGGGCTGGGCTGGCAGCTGGAGCTGCAGAGCAGTCTGGAGCCACGGAGGAGCCATCTGGACACGCAGGGGTTACAGCAGAAATGCAGCATGTGGTGCATCCAGCACTCACTGGGGTCACAGGTAAGAGATGTGTGCACTGGCCAGCTGCCTTTCCCAAAGGAGCTCCTGCCAGCTGGGAACTCAGCCCTTCTGTCTCCGCACTGCTGGGGTGAGGTGGATTTGCTTCAGCTGCTA